GTGTTCGAGTGTTCGAACCGTAATGCGCAAGAAATGGTACGGAAACCCCGTATTTACATATCTGCCACTGCAGTATACACAAGTTCTGAAGTTGCAAAGTCAAATACTAAAAAATTATTGAAGTAATACCATATTAAAAAGGAAAAAACAAACAAATAAATAAATAAAATACCTAGTGAGAGCATCAAGTACCACCACAGCAATTCCTCTATTATCACTCCTCCCAGTTTTGGGCTGATTTTCTCCTTTTGTTGTGATGTCATCGTAAAAAGCCCTAGCTGCTAGCTTCACCAACCTATATAAATCCAAATTCCATTAACAAAAAATATAAATTAATCGATCAAAAACCGGTTTGTTTAGCCAGAAAAGAAAAAAGAAATCAAAAGTTGAAGAAACAACACCTGTTAAATGGTTCTACGCTCATGTTCTATATCTGGAAATTTTGGTTAGAATTGCGAGAAATCGATTGTGGAATGTGAAATCGATTGGAAGAATGTAAGGGCAGTTCTATACACCTTCGCAGGTCACAAACGAAACGAGGGTCACAGACTGCCGAGTCGCGATTGGGAGTTGGCCACGAAAATTCCAATCCAGTCGTGAAATCAAATCGCGAAGTTGAATCCAGGGAAAAGCTGCGAGCTTCGAAGTTGAAGACTGATTTTGTGCGTGTAAATCGAACTTGATTTGCCAACTAGGGTTCTTGAGAATTCATAGCCAACAACAACGAAGAAATCAGTAACGAATTTAGCTGATGACTAGACTCGTTTCGCACCATCACATTTTAGTTTAAGCGTAAAAAATAAATAAATTAATTAATTAATTAATTATTAATATAAAATTTAAAATTATCAGGCCTTTTTTAACAAACTTTTAACATTGTTTGGGTTTGATGGATTCGCGGTTTAGAAAATTGAGGCTTTGTTTGATTTGTTCTTTTTGTTGAATCTTTTTTATGCTTTTTTAAAAAAATTTGATTTTTTTTCCCAAAAAAAAAAAAAAAAAAATGCTTAGAGTTTTGAACTCTGTGGGAGGGAAGAGGGATTACTAGGGTATAATTCCCTAATATCTTGTGTGTTACAAGATTCTATTCAATTTCAAACTTCCCACATCCTTAATTTTCTAATTTTTCATTAAAATAGAAAGTCTTCACTAAAAGATGTCATAAAAGTATTCAGTAACAGTAGTTGACTTTTGCTTCATTCCATTTAGCTTTCCATGCATTCATGTTAGTGAAAGGAAAGCCAAATTTTATTCTAATGTATGAGGTGATCTGTAAATCGCTCTATAATTGTTAATTATTTATGGGTTCAAAAGTCAAGAAGTGAATGCTTGTTCAAGTTCTAAGGCCAACCACCTTGTGTGTACCACTCTAGAAGTTGGGTTTGTACCTAGTTTACCCCTTCATATTGACAGGATCAGCAATCAATCTTTCCGTAAAGGTTTTAAAACATGTGAAGCGGTAGAGTATGGGGTTCTTATCCACAGGGACAAGTGTGTAATTCTAGCTATTTCAATTATTAATTTTCAAATTAGTTTGTTGAAATGGATTGTTTTGTGAGAATGAACTAGTTAATAAAACCCTAATTAAATAAGCAAGAAAATTCAAGTTAAAGTGTTAAAATTTACCATCACCTACCACACACTTACCATCACCTACCACACACTCACCTACTACACTCACCTACCACCACCATCCACTACACCTACATCTATATAAGGAACCATTTGTAATAGACAGATCAATTAACAACACATCAATCAATAATACAATTCTCTTTATACATTGAATTTTTTCATAAAGAATAAAAAATGGTATCTTAGGGATCCGAATCCATCGCTAGTTTCGTATCCGGAATTCTTCTCTTAGATTACACAATTGATTGATTGGAATAGGTCAATTTCTCAACTACAAGTTGCAAAATTGAAAAGGAGAGTAATGTTGTATTTGAAGCAAGAGTACGACCTATCTGAACCGGCACAAATTGTCCACCCTAAAGTAGGGTTTGTGGCACAACTCGTCTAGTGAGAGCAAGCCCGTCTCAAGTTCCCAACACAACGACAATGAAAACAAAAGTAAACCATTCATTCGCAATCACAAAAATTGAATGAGGAGAAAATATATAAATATGTTTATTCAAAAACTCAAAAGTTTACAATAATTGCAATCAAATGATACAATACAAATCTCTCAAGATGAAAATCTGGTCACTTGGCTAGGGTATGAAACCCTAAGTATGGAGGAGATACACCTCTAGCCCTAGTTGCCTCCATCTTCAAACCAAAAGAATCAGAACCCTTTTCCTTTATTTTCTTTTTCCTTTTATACTTGAATTCTCTTCAGGTCAGTTCTCATTTTTGCACACAAACTTTGAAGTGTGGCAACTCATGTGGCCAAAATGCTCCGCATGAGCGGAGCTTTAACAGGAGGCTTTTGGGCACTGGCCGCATGTTCGGCTGCTCAGCAGTGTTGTGGTGGTTATGCGTTCGTTGCTCGTGTGGAGGTCTTGCTGCTCATGTTGAGAAAATCTGTGATCCCTTTCTCTTTAGTTCCACCACTTGTAAACCATTTTATTAAGGACTGTTTGTCAAGCCTGCACACACATAAAACACATAATATCTGCCAAGTAACCGTACCTCAAGGACTATCAATGCAAATTAGATGGCCTCAATGTGGTACCTTTCCGAGCCAATCAGCCACGGCCTTTAGATTAGGTCAAAATTCATTTCCTTTTTATTGTCTCATTCTCTCCTTTCCCCCTGGCGCCAAAAGAAACAGTTACGTGCTAACAATTTGCATTTTTACTAAGCATATTGGCATCTACCAAAAGCTATGTTGCTCAAACCACCAAAGAAAAGATGAAGGTGGAAACAGTGATAATTAAAATAAAAAAAAAATGAATTTATGTAGTTTGATCAAATTTGAAATTTTGGCACTATATATCATAGTATCTATTGATTCTAGAACTACACTCACTATTCCTTTTGATGCGTGGCTTTGTAGTGTTATAAAAATGATATAGGCCAGACATTCTACAGCATGGAAGCTCTTATGTGTTATGTAAAGTATGCTAAAAGAGCTGAGGTCTCCATTTACGCACGGGTAAGTTTGCTTTGCAAAAGTGGCGCTTGTATTGAAAAAATGATGATACTTCGTTCCTATGTTATTTCCATGTTTACATGTCATCACCTTTGGTTTAGAATGCATTAGTGTGCCTCCTTCGGTTTTTACCATCATTTATGATTATCATTTTTCTAAATTACTTGTACGAGGTATTTGGTGGTGATAAGATAAGGTTTATGCCTGATGCAACTACAATTTTTTTTAGCAGCAGAATATATAATGTTTATTTATCCTGTCTCTCTATGAAGATGTCTTATGCATGTTGATTCAATGTGGCTCCATAGAAGAGATATGGAGAAAGTTCCCAGTGTGGTCTTTTTGTTCACTACTTGATTATAGTAACACATTTCAATACGTTCTAACCTTCCAAATTTCCAAAGCACCTAAAGTACTACATGCCATTTTTAAGTGTTTCTTCATGAATTGTGTGCGTGGGGTTCAAATCTTTAAACAGATATAGATGCTATATGTAAGAATGATGACAAATAGCTAAATTATTCATTCAATATCATCTTCATGGACACAGAAACAGACCCTCTAGTCAAAATAGAACTTATGTTGCAAGATTGTCATATTCAAGGTATGATAAGAGTGTGACTGTATTTTATTCAATAACCCAAATAATTTGGAACAAAGCTGACCTGTAAATAGTGTTTCCCAAGTAAACTGGTGTGGAGGAGTTGACTGCAGGTTTGAGGTTCACCAGAGAGTGGCAAAACACATTGGAGGCACCAAAGACAAAAACAGGATGACTCGGAGAGAGATGGAGCAATACAACAGAGAGAAAGAGCAGAGCTCAACAAGAGATGATGTGTTCTGACCATGATGTAATGAAGGTACCACCTTCTATATATAGGTTGCAAGCACATTGTCATAACTAATTGTCTAGTGTGTCCGCCATATTTTTGGGGATCTTGTCATAAGTTAGTTAGACTATTAGGATAGGATTACATAATGATTTTAGAGAACCTTTTTGTGAGGTCTCTCTGTCTCTCAATAGGACTGACCTAAGGCAGCTTGGCTTGTGTGGGGTGGGCACAACACTAAGGCAAGTCTCCATCTCTTTCCTTTGGGCCACAAGAACCCAGAGACACGCTGCATACCAAGGACTACAGCATACCTAAAACTTTCCTCTCAACCTAGATACCTATTACTTCCTAAGCAATTGAGTGGTACACCTACCAGAACAAGGTAATAAGACACGCATTATGACAACTATGGCAATGAGTTGTGCGATTATGACTATTATGGCCATGAGATAGCCTAATCTCCTGAATCCTGCGGGATGTCAAGTTGGCGAGGCTTCAAGAGATGAGCTCTTAGGGCTTGGATACAAATTGTCGCAAGTCTTTTGATCTTATTCAGTTTAGTCTGAACACATGGACCGTACATGCCCTCATCATGGGTAATATGTGTAAGTTTTTATGCTGAAATGTAAAACACATGTCATTGCATACATGTGCATGACACGTTGGCAGTAATGGTGGTATCTACAACTGGGAAGTAAGTTGCTATTCTGGTGTCCATGAACCATAGGTGTTTGTTTTATAGACTTTTGGTCAGTGATTTTATGATCAATGATAGTATTTTAGATTCTACATTTAACATGAGAATTTGATTAGTTTAAAAAAATATTTTAAAATGTTGTCGAAACCCCATCCCCACAACCCTGCCCTAAACCTGTCTTTTGCATCATTATCACAATTTATTTTCCTTTGTTCAAATGTAGAAAAGGTTTGCAAATGCATTACATGTGGTTCCATGCTTTTCTTTCTGTTTCTTTAATGCTCTATTTGGTTCACTTGAATGAGATGGAATGGAATGATCATTCCCCTACACTGGTGAATAATGATTCTATTTGTAATGCATTTTTCATTAAATTTTTAATCAACCAAACACGGGAATAGAATTTTTGATGAAATGATAATTCCATTCCATTGCATTTCAGTAAACTAAACACTACCCTTAGGTAATCTCACTGATAATTCCTAGTAGTCTCGTTGGAATTCTAGATTAGGGATAGGTAATCTCACTGAAATTAAGTGGTTAAAAGTTATAGTTTGCTCAACATTTCAATTCAAAAGAGCCCTTTCTGAAGGGAAAGATCCTGGATAAAAAAGGGAGATTATGATTGTCAATCTCAAACAGATTGTAAATGGTTTCCTTCAACAATGCAAGAATTCTGGGTTCTTACACGTGTGTTTCCTTATTGCAGAACTATACTCCTTTAACTGTTGGTGCATCCCAAGGCAGAAAAAAACAGGTCAACATTACGTCAGCAACCAATGTTTGTTTGTTTTACATATCCTACTTTGTCAGTATTAATGTGCTTGTTATTTCATACTTGTTAAGTAATTAACCTTTTCAATACCTGCCAAGTTGCTCATCTGGTTCTGGTACTTCAAATAAAATACTAGGAGGCAAGCGTGGGTTACATAAAATCTGGTTGTCCTGGGCTAGTGAAACTTTTGTAATAACGGTGCAATAAAAATATATGGGAGTTGGTACCTAGTAATACCTTTTTATGAATTAGCAGCACATCAAATCCTTGTATAGAGATGAGTACTGAAGTCTACAATTCTCCGAGATATTATTTCTAGGGTAAATTACAGTTTACCCATTTTAAGTTTCATAATTTTCACTTTAAAGTATTTTTTTTTCTCACTTTGTCCCCTAATGTTTGTGATTTTTTTTTTAAAATTTACTCCCAAAACCAACTTCCGTCCAATTTTGGATGGAAAATGCCATGTTGGCAGCCATGTGGCATGAAAAGTATATTATCTTAAGTTTTTTGATAAATTGCACTTTGCCCTCTTAAGTTTCACAATTTTTCCACCGTAGGCCCTAAATTTTGTAATTTTTCCAAATTTACTCCCCAAACCAACTTTAGTCCAACTTGGGACGGAAAATGCCACCTTGGTAGCCATGTCGATGAAAATATATTATATTAGAATTTTAAGACCCAAAATTCAAATTCAATCAGAAGTGGTGTTCTTCGGGTTTGCCCCTCCACTCGTGGTGCCTCATACTTCTGATAGTTGTATCTGCACAATTTTATAACCTTTGTTTCCTTGTTTAAAGCATCTAAAAACAACAGGACCTTTTTGATATGATTGTTGTGGTTGGCCACACAGCATGCTCAGTGCTTTGGCAGTAGAAATTTGTTAAGCACTTTTATCATATTTACTTTTAAAATCGTTTCTTTTGCTCATCAATTTGTCTCTTTCAGTGACTTAATCCCCCAAAGGTAAGGAAACAAGCTGAAAAGGCAGCAGCAGGGAAGCAATGCTCAAAAGATCTCATGCATGCTTCCAACCAAAGTAATGTTCTGACACTACTTTGCTGATTAGTCTCTCTCTCTCTCTCTCTCTCTCTCTCTCTCTCTCTCATGTGTTTGTGAATTTTTTCCCAGCGCTTTTTCGAGAATTAATTCTCGCAATGTTTAAAATAACTGAGATGCGCCTGTTTCTAATTCTTTCACCATGCTGCAACGACATCCTTACTCCTAGTTTACAACCAAAATCTCGTGCATTAATCCTAAAAGTATTGGTTTGGTTTAGTTTTTTTTAATTGTTTTGTATTTTTATTTTTTCGTCTTTACTGAGCTTTTTCTTCTTTTTTTTTGGGACTTTTTAGATGCCCTAAAAAAGTAAAATATTGGACAAATTATACTAGTAGTCCCTTTAATTTGACCCTTGTATCATTTTGGTCATGGAAAAGGACACGCGATATGACACTGACACATTGACACGTCAATTTTCAAAAACTGCAGGATATGACACGTGGGGGACACGTATGAAATATATAATTTTATATATTTATAATATGTTATATATATGAATATATCATTCAAAGATAATAAAAAAATGCAATATGGCACTAATTTCAATGAATTTATATGATTTTTGTTTTATTATTATATCTTAAGTTGTTTTATTGAAATTTATAATTAGTCTTATGTGTCTAATCGATAGACACGTGTTTAAGTGATAGACACGTATATTCTCCACGTGTCCAAAGAGTGTCTGGATTTAAAAAAAAAAAATTAAAAAATATGACACATTTTGAAGGGTGTCGGACACGTGTCGGGGAAGTGTCCAAAGAGTGTCAGTGTTCAACATGGACACGACACGGACACGTCACATTCTTAGAAGTGTCTATGCTTCTTTATAATTTCAATTGGCTCAATTTTGATCCTAATTTTTTTATTTTGTTTTGAGTTGGCCCAATTGTAACAAATGTTAGCAATTTTTTTTAATGAAAAATGTGGCCATGAACGTGTCATGCTTTAATGGGCAAAATTGTAAACTTGATCAACTTAGTTAGTTAATTTTAACCAATTCAATGATCATTTTCTATCAAAACCCTTAATGATGTCATCAATTGGACCAAATTAATACAAAAAGTTCACTAAAAATTAAAAAAAATTAAAAGGTACAAAAATGTGCTTTTTTTTTTTTTGGGTAATCTAGATGCATCTAAAAGACAAAAACACTAAAAAATTTGAAAACCAAACAAGATAATATTATAAGACTATAGATTTGAGAATCATACGACCACATGATCACATCTAATTTTAACATGTAGAATTGTTTGCTCTGCTAAAAGATACTCAATGCCATATTCTTCAATCATAGGTGAGACAGGTCAATGTTCCTCTCACTTAATGTGGCCTTCTAATGAATGATGCAGGTCATGAGGAAAGCGATAACCCAGAAGAGGTATCTCTGCCTGGTGAACTTCCAAAGAAAGTTTGTCATGATAAGGCCCCTAATTCAGCCTCTGCGTCTCATGACGAGGAGGAGGCTCAATTCCATCTAAGCAAGTATTACCAATAAAGATGCTCGGAAGTTGTGAGCCTAAGCATGTACAAGCTTTGATCAATGGTCAAGCTGGGGCAAACTTATCAACAAGCTTGAGCCATGTTGGGGATAAAGGAGGTTGCACAACGTGTTGAGGAGGCAAGTTGCTGAGGTAAACTACTGAACAATGGAGAACACACCAATATCAAATGTAATCCATAAATATAGCAGTTTGTGAGACTCTGAAAGCCATTTGGATTGTTTTTATGTTTGTTTGTGCTTTTTACACGACACCCTATACATCTTTTGAAACTCAAAAGACTTGACGTGGTTTAAATCTAATAAATAGTATTTTTAATAATGCTTCTTGTTGGTTGTGCTCTTCTTTTCTTCTTCTCTCTTGTGAATTCTCTCCCAAAGATTTTTCAGGATTTTAGGTGCTCAACAATTTGATCTTTTGTTTTGATTAGTCTATGGGGTGGAAGATCAAAGAATATCTTATACTATGGAGGGTGATCCCTTTCAAGTAATATGTGATCAGTGTGTATCTATATATATGTGTTTGCACAACGTAAGATATTAGTGAGTTAGTTACATTACAATGCAAGCCGACCTCTCTATATTCGAATGGCACTTTAAAATGTCCTTTCAAAACCACGTGGGCTAGAGCCAGTCTTGCAAAAATTTTGCTCCAAAAAAAACATCATTACTGGAGGCCCAATTAGTTACGAGTCTTGTAGATGTGCGGGTGATTTTATTTGCAACAAAATAGTAACTCAATACCCCTAATTAAAATTTAAAAATTTTGCTTCTTATTATATCTTAATGTAAATTTATAAATAAGGACAATATAGATTAAATTTTTAAGTATTTATAATAATGCTTCTTGTTGGTTGTGCTCTTCTTTTCTTCTTCTCTCTTGTGAATTCTCTCCCAAAGATTTTTCAGGATTTTAGGTGCTCAACAATTTGATCTTTTGTTTTGATTAGTCTATGGGGTGGAAGATCAAAGAATATCTTATACTATGGAGGGTGATCCCTTTCAAGTAATATGTGATCAGTGTGTATCTATATATATGTGTTTGCACAACGTAAGATATTAGTGAGTTAGTTACATTACAATGCAAGCCGACCTCTCTATATTCGAATGGCACTTTAAAGTGTCCTTTCAAAATCACGTGGGCTAGAGCCGGTCTTGCGAAAATTTAGCTTCGCGTGTTGAAGGGGGGCCCAAAAAAAACATCATTACTGGAGGCCCAATTAGTTATGAGTCTTGTAGATGTGCGGCTGATTTTATTTGCACCAAAATAGATACCCCTAATTAAAATTTAAAAATTTCGCTTCTTAGTATATCTTAATGTAAATTTATAAATAAGGACAATATAGATTAAATTTTTAAATAAAATATATATATATTTTTTCATGTTACATCCTAATTACTTATACGTACTTTTTATATTTAAGTCTCTTCTTTTTTGTTTTAAAATATCAATTATTCTCTCTTTATTTTCTTCCTTACTCCAAAATTCTAATTCATCCTATCAAAATTTACTGTTATCATTAACATTATTGTTTCTTGAATAATGCTATATATACTAATTAGTGTACTAATAGGAGATATGACATCATTTTAAAAGTTTTGGATATTTGTGATGTATATAATAAATGTGGTTAATAATAATGGCATAACATTAGTTAGTACGTTAATTGGTACATATAGCACTACCGTTATTTTTTAGTATTCAAATCACAGTATGTGTTGTAAGCAAAGACGGCTCTCAAATGAACACTTTGGACTTTATGGTAACCCGCCATCAAAACCAAAATTAGTTTCCAGTTTTGGTTCTAGAGCAGCCATGGCTCCCAAAGGGAGGTTTCTGGCAAAAACACTACAACCAGAACCGGCCATCACTGCCAACAATGGCAACAAAATAAAGGTTCACAATTCTTACTCTTCTAAGCATCCAAAAAATCACCCTTGTAAGCCACCAACAGTTTCGCCGCATCATCTCTAAATTTTGATAAAAATTTGGCTAGAAACTCCTCTGACAAACTCAATACATGAATAAGCCTGGCTCCTTCTTCAACAGCGACGTCGGCTGGGTGGTTTGCCAACGTCGTTCTCCTTCGTTGATGCTGTTGTTCTCTGTATGTGAATAAAAGAATATGTAATTTGAATTGATTTGTTTATTATTTGGGTGTACCATAAATTATAAATTTATCTTAAAGGTAATTTGTGAAAACATAAAGTGTATTGAGAGTAAATTATAACCTTAAATAATTTAATAGAGAGTATTGAGAAATTAAACATAAATATTGTAGATAGAATCTCCCGTAGATCTACTACTTGCAACTATTGTAAATAATAAACTCTTATTTTTAATTGGCCATTTACTTGCATTTTTTTAAAGTATACCTAGGATCTCAGTTTAACTATTTTAAAAATAATAATTTTATTCCTTTAATTGTTTTTCAAAAATATTACTGAATTATATATATATATATATATATTTTTTGTATTTTCTGATGATCATAAAAAATGCTAGTAAAAATTTTATTGTTATATAATGTTGACCCATAATAACTCACCTAATATGTGATGTTTTGAAATTCTTCACTTGTAAGAGTGCTATGTTGACAAAGTCACATCATATGAATTACTTAATAATTTTCTTAGAAGTCGTGTTAGTGATTAAGACAAAAAATAAAAAATAAAAAAATAAAAAATTGAAACAAAAAAAATTAATAAAAAATTGTCTTTACTTCTCCTGGCGAGTTACTATAGCTCAAAACCAATTGAGCAATCATTAAGCTCATTTTCACATCAATTTAATTTATTTATTTATTTTAAAAAAATACACAATCATGTACAAAGAAAATTGATAGAAACAATGATAAGAAAAAGTGAAACAATCACTATAAATGAAAATATTACTGGAGCAAAGACCTAATCTTGCATAAGATATAGTGAAAAAATAAGAATTTATTTAATTTAATTGAATAAATAAAGCTTAAATAATAAATTATTTGTTATCAGTTTATACACAACTAATTATTCTTTGTTCATTCCAAAATCAAAACAGATTAAAAATAAATAAATAAATAAAAATCAAAGAAATGCTAATGAACTTATTTGTAGAGAGATACCAGATTAGTCCATAGCAGATTGTTTCCATCCACCAAAGCTCTCCTCCCCTAAATTGAATCCCCGATCTCTCTGCAACCAACGAGCCGACATTTTTAGGCATGAGACAGTGCATTTGGCAATAGGCTGAGGCTATTATAAAAAGTTAAAATGACAAAATCATACCACAGTGTCAAAGATTCATTTCCACTTTTTCTACTTTTTCTACATCTTTTCATAAAATTCAAAAGCCATTCCCAAACAATTCAATTTTTTCACCTCGTGTTTTACCTTAAAAACAACTAAAAAAATACACTTTACAAATGAACACTTAGCCAATTGTTGTAACTGTGAAATAAAAAGGCATAGTAAGTTTTCGATGGAATTGGTAGATGTTATGATTAGGAGGAGAGTTAGTATAGCTTGCATACAAGAAACTAAGTGGACGGAGAGAGTAAGCTAGGGAAATTGAGGATACCAGTTTTAAACTATATTATAGTGGTAAGGATAGACGCAGGAATGGGGTAGGAATCATAATTGTCAAGGGTCTTGTAGAAAGTGTAGTGGCGGTCACTAGGAAAGGAGATAGGATTATGCTAGTTAAACTAGTTATTGGAGGGAATATAGTGAACATTATTAGCGCATACGCCCCTTAAGTAGGGTTAGATGATCAAACTAAGAGGGATTTTTGGGAGCAAATGGATGAGATCTTACAGGAGATACCCGTAGGAGAGAACCTGGTTATAGGTGGAGATTTCAATGGCCATATGGGCATAGATAAACTAGGTTATGAAAGGGTGCATGGTGGATACGGTTTTGGTGACAGAAATGAGACTGGAGAGAGTATCTTAGATTTTGTGTTGGCTTCTGACCTGGTGGTGGCCAATACTATCTATAAGAAGAGGGAGGAGTATTTGATAACCTTTAAAAGTGGATTAGTTAAGACTCAAATAGATTACTTCTTCATGAGAAAAGTAGACTGCCTAAAATGCAATAATTGTAAGGTGATTCCTGGAGAGAGTCTGGTCTCTCAACATAGGATTTTGGTACTAGATTTATGTTTTAGATGGCAATACCAAGCTAAGAAGGCTGGTGGGAGTCGTAGGACGAGATGGTGGGACCTAAAAGGGAATAAACTAGAAATATTTATGAATCGAATGGATAAGGAAGGTACTTGGGACTTAGAAGGTGATGCTAACACTATGTGGAACTCGATGGCCAATTGTATAAGGAGAATCTCAAGGGAAGTGCTTGGAGAGTCGAAAGGAACGAGACCCAGCTCTAAGGAAACTTGGTGGTGGAAGGAAGAGGTTCAAGCGGTAGTTAAGGCAAAAAAAGAGTGCTTTAAAAAGTGACAGAAGGATAGGACTGAGGAAAACCTTAAGTGCATGTTTGATTGGAAGGATTAGAGTATGGGATTAGGATTATTAATCCGTGGGCCCAATTATCCCATGTTTGTTTTGACATTTTATTTTAGGATTATTAATCCAATGGATAATTAATCCAACAAATTTGTAGGATTATTAGTAATGGGGTAGGGGTGGGATTATGAATACCACATTAATTTGATAGGATTATTAATACCTCACTATTAGTCTTGTGAAATCAAACATGGCCTAAGAGCTATAGATTAGCTAATAAGGAGGTCAAGAAAGTAGTGAGAGAGACCAAGTTGAAAGTATATGATGACCTATACACTAGACTAGATAGTAAGGAGGGAGAGAAGAGGGTATACAAACTTACTAAAATACGAGAGAGGAAAACAAGAGATTTTAATCAAGTAAAGTGCATCAAGAGTGAGGATTCTAAGGTATTGGTGAAGGATGATGAGATTAAGGAAAGATGGAAGAGTCATTTTGAGAAACTATTAAATGAGGAACATGGAGGTACGACAATAAGGGAAGAAATAGCCAGTAATACGATAAACCAAGACTATAGGTTCTATCGCAAGATTAGGAACTTTGAAGTGGAAATTGCACTTAAGAAGATGAAATCAAATAAGGCTTTAGGACCCGATGATATCCCTGTTGAAGCTTGAAAGTGTTTGGGTAAAAAAGGAGTTGGTTGGTTGACTAGGTTGTTTAGCAAAATTTTGTTGACTAGGAACATGCCAGATGAGTGGAGGAAGAGTATTTTAGTGCCAATTTATAAGAATAAAGGTGATGTCCAAAATTGTAACAACTATAGGGAATCAAGCTAATGTGTCATATAATGAAAGTGTGGGAGCGGGTGATGGAA